TTCATACGTATTACGATATTTTAAAGAAATATGACGATGTATATTGTATATAAGAATGTTTAAAAATAGCTCATTTTTACATTCACTTATTCTATATAATTTATCATTAAAAATATTATAACTGTACAGATTCTTCATAGCACAAGATCAAGACAGAAATTAGACGGAAACGGTCATAACCGTCTTGCAAACGATACTTGCGGAAAACCTCAAATTCAAACGGAAACGCAAAAATTGACGGAAAAAGTGCTAGTGTGATAGGTCCTTCAAGAGAAAATTGGTGAAAACGAGCATAGGTTAGAGCACGACGAAAGAGGGATGTTAGGCTTGATTCAGTGTAAAGGATCTCAACTGGAGAGGATTGAACGGCGCCTTGGGGGGTAATCGAAGTCCGCAATGGCGGATTGTGTCAAGGTGTGTGAGAAGGGAGGCAGAGCCAGAATATGTGAGACAACTTAATCAAGGATGCAGAGAAAAGAAATGATCAGTGGTTGAAACAAATAATATGTACTACACAACAGAGGTTAGAGAGCACTATGGTAAAGTACTATGGCAAAAGGGGTAAAAATGAGCTAATGATTAGGATAAAATGTATTATATGTCAAAGTCGTACAGGACAGTACTGTAATAAAGGGGTAAAAAGGGGGAGCAAAGGAATTAAGCAGAGATTAGTAACAGAGAAAAAGGTCAAGGCCAATTGGATATGGAGTACACCTGTTATTGGGGAAGGAATAGGGAGGAAACTGGCAATCGAGCTATTATGAAACAATCAGTGGGTAATACGGGTAATGGCTGTTGAAAAAGTAGAAGAATCCGGGGAATGAGATAAAGGGCCTGAGGAAGGTAGTGAAGCATCAGGATGAATGTCAGGAGAAAAGGGGTCTGGAGAAGGACACTGTTGTGACAGTAGAGATTCAGTTGAGCATTCCGGTGGAAGCGGTAAGGATAATGGGGAACGAAGAGGGAATGGTGCCCTGGAGATGGAGGTGTTGGGAAAGAGTGGGAGGAAAAGGGTTAAGGGTAACGAGCTGCTCTTTATTTTATTTTTCGATTTTCTTGCCGATTTTAATTAAACTCACACCCTTTTATTTAGACCCTAGCCTGATCCCTGTGGTGGATTTTATTTCGAAATCGCCCGAACAGTTTTTGAGTTATGATTTTTAAAAAAAATCACCAAAGAAAAAAATAAAAATTTACCATTAAAAAAAATAACAAATATATATATATATATATATATATGTATATATTTTTTTTTTTTTTTTTTTTTTAAGGTAATTCTTTATCTAGGGAATGTAGGAAGCACTTTCGACTTTTTTCTTTTTTGTGGGGGGGGGGGATATTTTACCGAGTTGACTAGCAAGTGTACGAAAATTACGTTTTTTTTTTCATATATACACTTTTACAAGAAGCACAGGAAAATATCGAAAAATCCACTTCCTACATTCCCTAGACACACCCTTGGATGCATAAGCTAGTATGAACCTGCACTGAAATACATTAACCCTTTCTGGTCTCTTGATATTTGTGCTTCATGTCATAAAAATACTCTAACGGGTCATTGTTTTCAGCTTACATCACACGATCTTCTTCGACTGAAATTATCAATTCTGGTCATGTTTTTATCCTGTTTGCTATTGGCAATGATGCAAATTCCCCTTTAATTCATAATATATTTGTCAGGGTTGTAGCTAATGGTAGGGGTGGGGCAGGAGGCACATGCCCCTCAGGCGTTAAGAAAAATGTGTATTTCATGCAAGTATTGGCCAAAAATTTGTAAAATACTGTACTCCAAATGATCTATTACACCCCCATCACCAAAAAGATCTAGCTATGCCTCTGTTTAGAAGGGGACTGCAACACATTTTTATTTAAAAATGGTAGAGATGGCGCCGATGGGACCATCTCTGGGCATTGGTATGAAAACAGATGGAATTTATTATTATTTTCTAACCACCACTTTTCCCATAAGTTTCTTTCACAGGGGCACTAAATGTAGTCATGTTACGCAAGAGATCATGCCCCAAGAGATACGCGAAGACCTGCTGGATGGATGCTACCCCGGCTACTCCTTCTATGACCCACCAGAGAATGCAGTGTTCGCGAATGTTAAATGTGTGAATGAAAATGAATCGCTTTTGAACGTGAACCCCATTATCATCAAAAAGGTCCTTGATGGTCAAGTGGACGGCAATTCTGATTTTCTCCAAAAATTGCGAGATGGAAACCTTGTTAAAGTACAATATAACTGCCAGATTAAAGGTTTATTTAGGCTGACGCAAATTCATGATCGAGTTAAAGTAACTATTCCTATTGGCCTAAATATTTGTAAGGGAGTAATCTTTCACAGGGATTTTAGGACGATGGAAGAAAGCGAAATTCATACTTTGAAATTTGGAATACCTAGACTTTCTCCAACTCACGGAACTTTGCCCACATCATTCCCATACTGAGAGAAGGAGTAAATCCCAGATCCGCCATCTCTTACCGCCCACGTGCGTTGACAAGTTGCTTATAGTCCTGGAGTCAAGGAGTATTTTGGGGGTCGAGAGGGCCCTTAAATCACTCACTTGATTTTTGTAGGGGTTTTCCTGGGTCACCTTTTAGTGAGGTTGGACATGCTGAAACCCGGCAGTAATGGAGCTATTCAGTGTTTTGTCTGAAAAATCAGCACCCTCGGATGCTTACAAAAAATAGGGGAAAATAGAATAGCAAGAACTGCTGGTTGAATCACATCCAATAAGGTTTCATGGCCCATCAACTTGAAAAATTCTGCAAGATGCACGTCTTGGCAGTTCATTACATAAATCACGTTTGTTTGGTTTAACCATCAGACCCTCTCCATTAAACAGATAGCATATTTTCCAAGTGATCAACTGGCAGGAGGTGTTCGATGTCATTGTTGCGAACGTGGACATTACTTACAATTTTTTGTTTTTGCTTGGCAAGTACCTTTGCCTGCCTTGTTTGATTTAAATAAGTTATTTCTGTGAATTGTGTCAAATAAGGCCCTTTCCTTTGTAACAAGTCTTTCAGTGCGGCAAGTTTCATACAGATTAGCGTACTTCGCTTCAAACTCTAGCAGGTCTTCGCGTATATCTTGGGGCATGATCTGCATGACTACATTTAGTGCCCCTGTGAAAGAAACATGTGAAAAGTGGTGGTTAGAAATATAATACCGTCCAATAAATTTCATCTGTTTTCATTCCGATGCCCAGAGATGGCCCCAGCAGCGTTTAAGCCGATGGGGCCATCTTTTAAACAAAAATGTGTTGCAGCCCCCTTCTAAACAGGGGCATAGTTAGTTATTTTTGGGGATGGGAGTGTAATAGATCATTTGGAGTACAGTATTTTACAATTTTTTGGCCAATACTTGCATGAAATGCACATTTTTCGTAATGTCTGGGGGCATGTGCTTCCTGCCCCACACCTACCATTAAAATACTTTATGGGGACCGCCGCAGTTAGCACATGTGCGTGTTTGTGCAGGGCAGTTTGATCTGTTATGACCGGGTTGGGCACAGAGGGGGTATCGGTCTGGAGCGGCAGTGTTTGGCAGGATGTCCAAATCGCTAACAATTTTGACATTGACGGAGAGGAGGTTGGTATGGTTGAAAAGGGAGGGATTGTCCACCAATGTAGATACGAATGGGAAGGTCATGTGTACTGAAAGTAATTTTGGCAATGTTGATGGGTTTCTTTCGATGGTCTCTAGGAGGAATAGAGTAGCAATGTACTGATATCACGTCCTGGTCTTTGAGGCAGCCGAGCAAGTCTTCTCCACAATCTGACCAATCTTTGGTATCGACTGGACAGTTTGCTGGGGAGATAGAGACAGTTCCGGTACAAGTATTAAGAGTTGGATGAGGTTCTGCAGAGATGGGGTTGCCAGAGAGATCAGTTAGTTTTGATAATGCTATAGCTTCAGCTTCTGATCTGACTGTTACGAGACGGGAGCGATCGCGTCGGGTACGGAGAGGGACTCTGCCAACATGTTTTTTGGAGACACTGTTGAAAGAGAAGTGTGTTGCCTGAGTAAGAAGCTGTAGAGTAGTTATTTGTGGGGTTGGTGGTGGTAGGACGGGTGCGTGTGGAAGCGGGAGTGTTGTTGAGGGGGGTAGTATTACGGAGAGATGGAGAATAAGGCTGTGAGGTAGTAATAAGGGAGGTTGGGGTGTTTGGTGAAGAAGGTTGTAGGGGTAGAGTTGATGAATTTGAGGAAGTTGGGAGGGTAGGGATGTCTTCTGGAGATTGAGTCTCTGCTTGGGTGGGTACTGCACTAGTAGGCATTGAGTGGGTAGTAGTTTGTGTTCAGAGTCGTGGTCAAACGTCAGCCTGGGTCAGGGAGCCAGGAGTTTGAATTGGTATGGCTATTTGATGAAGAGGCAAGCCTCATTGCCCTTCATAAGGGTATTACATCTTCATTACTTGACTATGTTGGGGAAATAACCAGTCCACCCCTCAGGGTCCCTTTGAGGGGTAAGGGCTAGACAACTAAAACGGGAATACCATGCCCATGGTTCCCTCAGGCCGTTCAGGACTGGCACAAAGTCATCCTTTCATCCTTTCAGCACGGTCCTCACACCTTAGGAAGTGGATAGTAGAAGGGGTTGGAGAAGGGACGGAAACAAAAAAAAAAGCAAAAAAAAAATTTGTTTGCGTCAAGGGCCGAGGCCCATGGTAGGGGAGATCCCCAGCATTGGATCCAAGTCTTCGCCTCCTAAGGCCCCCCTCGACAATAAAGGGCAAGGGATTGGGGGTGGGGGGTGGACACATGTGTTGTAATTGAAAATCTATTACCATTTGGCATTTAATGAGCTTAACAAATGTTTCAAATATTTCTTGGTCATCAATGTTTATACAGGTTCTTTATTACACATCTAAATACGTTGTATATTTTGTTTTTTTTCCTCTATCTTACCAGGTAAAATGTGTGGCTTTGGCCATATCTGTTTCATGTAGTACTTCCTGTTTTAACCAAACTTTGACTAAAAAGACAAAACTGAATTTCTCTAAATTTTCTTTATTGATACTATTCCAATATCTTTCTGCTGGTTTTACTGATCACTAATTATTATAAGAACATGGACACTCACTTAGCCTATAGAAAGTTCTACAACTATAGATGTGAGTGTAATGTTCATCAGACGAGCTGACAATTTCTACACCAAGCACCCTAGGTTGCTACAAAAGGTATTGGTTAGTTAGACCATCAACTTCAGTACAATCAGTATTATACCTCTAAACCAGTTATGCACCAAACAAAAATGTCAAATAACATAATCAACACAAATATAACTGTCAAAAAGATGCCCTTGAAGAAAGTTGCAATGAACATAGAATTTAGCACAAAGCAGAGCAGTTGGATAAAAATATACATGTGACATATCCTAAAACTAGTTATATCCTTTGGAAACTATTTTGTGGATATAACGCACATATATATATGGTCGGAAACAACAAATAATAGTATCTAAAAAAAAATAGATACAAGGCTGAAGTAATGCTAAAAGAGAAGGGTTTCTCAAAACAGATTATGCAAATTTTGCAGATATTTAGTTTTACACATTCCTATTGTTCTCTACCATTGCTGTCACTTAGTATTTAAATATAATTTCAAAATAAAAAGCACCATGGGGTTATTTTAAGCAAAGCAATCTGCACTTCTAGTATTTTAGCTAAATAATTTAGCTACTATGCTAGATCCTCTCATTAACATTTGTGATTAGGTGCAAATTCATTTTTTTTTTATAAAACTCTTTTCTATAAACTAAAAGGAATCTATAAAGCATAAAAAATAGCAACTACTGTTTTCACTGTTGATGACTACATCTTCCCTTATTTTAATGAAAGAGTTACGCTGTCACACAAAATACAGATTCAAGTTTATCAAAAATCATTTTAAACATACCATATGTGAAGGAAATCTTTGCCCTTTGCTTTTCTTTTTTTTAACTGGTGTTTCATGCAGAAGATACTCCTTGCTATAAAACACCTGTCCACTCGAAAGTTATGTGAACCACTATTCAATGTGCACATTTCAAATGATTACATGAAGTGAACTGGAATGCACTTCACACTCCTTTCATTATAAAATCAAGATCATTGAGCATTGACAACATCCTTCATCTGTAAACATATATTGGTCTTCTAAACACCTTGGAATGAATCTTTATATTGCATTGATGGAGAGATATTATTGTAACAAACTGAAATATAATATCAGTGCTTGGATATTACTTCATTCATACAAAGTACAAAAACTTCAATCACAAGACGTAAAAATGTACAGTAAAGGGTTTTGTTAAGGATGAGTCTAAAAAAAATAAGGTAAATTTTCTTCAATATCTTTATAAGTTATAATCAGGGTTAATATAACTACTATTTGATTTTTTTTTTAGAAGACTGGTTATATACATGTTTTTTTCTCAAAAAAAGAAGAAGATAAAAACAACAGAGAAGAAATTACCAAGAACACAAATTCTATATCACAAAAAGACATTACTAATCATCCAACAACAAAAATCTGAAGAAATGTAACAAAGACCTAGACAAGATGGTGTTAACCCACAAAAAATGAGCAGGACAATCTAGAACACTGACAACCCAAAGATAATGTCTCATACACCGTTTCTTTGTATCAACATTCAGAATGATGTATTGTATGAGAAAGGGCAGTATTCCACACTCATCTCACTCAGGTGAGGGTATTGCCTGCATGGCTTATTTTGTCCTCTCCCTTGGCCAGGAGGATTTAAATATGATCCTATGCAGAGTCTTCCAATATGAATCCCCTTGGAGCAAAGAATGTAGAAATGGTTATCACTATATACATTCCCTTGGTCAATGACTTGATTCACAGGTCAACATAGCTTAAAATTTTCACAAAGACTTACAGCACAAAGTAGACCAGCACTGTTAGAGTGCATATGCATGTATATGTCAGTGAAAGGCCTTAAAAAGTTAAATCAATTTTTCTTTTGAAGTGAAAGTTTCCTGTGATATGGACCTATTCATAATGTATGAAGGAGTGAGAATGTTATTTCAAAACCTTGACAATCGATGACAATAAATCAACACCTGAAAGGAACATGCATGGAATGAATGAAAAAATAAATTCTCACCACTTCTCATCAGTGATATTTCCCACAAGAACAAACAAGCTTTGAAGTCCCACATTCCTCCGGACGGAATATTACCAACTATCCAAGTGCTTGACCCTTTCCAAGGAATGGACACCTATGAATGCGAGACTTGTGGAAAGTTTTATATGAATATATATACAAGGACAATACATGATTCATTTGATGTTCGATGGGAATGATAATGCAGACTTATTAGTACCCCTGGACACTATGATATACACTGTACCGAGGCAATCATATAATCCAGGTCATTTGTAGGCTTCTTTCTTCTCACTTGCTACCTTGCTACCCAACATATGCACTGTCATAGGCTCCATCATGCTAGCAAGACTTCAAAAATTGTTAGTGAATGGTTCCTAGTGGGTACAATTTCCAAATCAAAAAGAATTCCCCTAAATTCTACCTGTTTAAGTTTTCAAGAAATCAAGAACTATTCCCTACCAATCACTTTCACCAGGTCAGTATACATATGATTTAGAATTACTGAGATCATTCAACCTTGGAAAGCAAGTATATTTTACTTTTGGGAACACTTACAACTTTAGTTGTAAAATGAAATCCTTGAAAAGTTATCTTGTATATCAAATCTTTAGAACAAAGTTTCTTTTTCATAAATGGCATACCAATGAAAGGGAGAATAAAAAATATATAATAAAAAAATCAAAAACTGCAAACAATTTCCATGTTTAGGTTTATGTGCCTCACATAGTTTTCAATGATATCATAGTTACATAATGTAACTACACAGTCATTCCTATCACCCAATACCTAACACTCCAAATCACAAAGTAGTAGCACCAGTGGCTCCCTATCTAAAATAACCCTTATATCCATGATGGAATCCATGAAATATATAGCTCTTTTATTAATATTCAGTCTACAGACTTTCACTTTCAGCTCCGCACACCTTCACAGGCAGCATAAATTGGCCCAGCCTTCTCCTGAGCTAACTCCTTCGCCCTCTTTGCTGTTTCTCGAGCCGCATCTTTCAACCTGTTCATAAAAAAGCCAATTGTGAGAACTCTTTCACTGTCAAAAATATCCATCTCCTGAAAACATTAATGTATTGTTGGTATGACCTACTTACATAGAATATCTTATCAACTATAAAATGCCCAACTATTAATCATCTATAACTAATGTTGCTTGAAATATCAACTTCTTGGACATAACACCAAATAAAGGCAACTTTGTAAAATACCTCTGTTTTCTCTCTTCTAATGTCAGGTGGTGGTTATGGCTGCTTTCCGCTGGGATATCAACAACAGGGAATAATCTATTCAAGGCAAAGCTGAAACCCAAGTTGGTCTTCTGGATGTTTTTCTTGTAGCGCTCCAGTCCAAATTTCTAGAAGATCAAAATTTTCTAATGTTAAATTTGTTTAATAAATGTCTGTCTGACAAACACACACAAGCATGCAAGAAGACATGCTCCACTCCACAACACACCACACCTCATCGCTCCACTCCACAACACACCACACCCCGTCACTCCACTCCACAACACACCACACCCCGTCGCTCCACTCCACACCACACCACACCCCGTCGCTCCACTCACACCCACACCACACCCCGTCGCTCCACTCCACACCACACACCACACACCCGTCGCTCCACTCCACACACACCACACCACTCCACACCACCCACCACCCAGTCGCTCCACTCCACAACACACCACACCCCATCGCTCCAATCCACAACACACCCACACCCATCGCTCCAATCCACAAACACACCACACCCCATCGCTCCACTCCACAACACACCACACCCCATCCTCCACTCCACAACACACCACACCCCATCGCTCCACTCCACAACACACCACACCCCATCGCTCCACTCCAAACACACCACACCCCATCGCTCCACTCCACAACACACACCCCATCGCTCCACTCCACAACACACCACACCCATCGCTCCACTCCCATCGCTCCACTCCACAACACACCACACCCCATCGCTCCACTCCACAACACCACACCCCATCGCTCCACACAACACACCACACCCATCGCTCCACTCCACAACACACCATACCCCATCGCTCCACTCCACAACACACCACACCCCATCACTCCACTCCACAACACCCACACCCCATCGCTCCACTCCACAACACACCACACCCCCATCGCTCCACTCCACAACACACCACACCCCGTCGCTCCACTCCACAACACACCACACCCCGTCGCTCCACTCCACAACACACCACACCCCATCGCTCAACACAATACAACACTCCACTCCACAACACCATACAACACTCCACTCTACAACACTCCACTCCACAACACCATACAACACTCCACTAACACCATACAACACTCCACTCCACAACACACATACAACACTCCACTCCACACACAACACTCCACTCACAACACCAACACACACAAACACAACACTCTACAACACAACACTCTACAACACAACACTCTACAACACAACTCACAACACAACAACACAACCACAACTCCACAACACAACACTCTACAACACAACACACAACACAACACTCTACACACAACACAACACAATACTCCACAACACAATACAACACAACACAACACTCCACACCATACACATCATACACCACTCCACACCATACATACCACACACACTACATTAGATACCACACCACATACTAAGCGTATACACCATACCACATACCAAATACACACACAAAAATATTTACAAATGCTGTATTTGCAATTGCTGTATGGTCATATCATTACAGACAAAGAGTAAATCTAAAATAATTCTTGGTATTAGTAAGGTATCAACATCAAGAAACTGATTTCCTCCAAACATCTTGCTGCATACTTCCCACTCCTACATATATGTAATAGTTTACATATCAGTGCTAAAGCTTAATATGATACATAGATAAAAACACTGTAAAAACTCTTCGAAACATACCTGAATTGCATATCCTAAGCCAAATATTTTTGAGTCAATCCAAGCTTTTCTCTCTGCCACGGTCCACTGCGAATTCTCTGGGCAAGGTCTGTAAACTACTTTTTCGACACAGGTCATCACCTTCACTCACAGAGAAGAAAAGAGGAAAAACATGAATGGAAGTGATGCATCTATCAGCAATAATATAGCAATCATTATACAATATCTCGGTATTTTACCATGATTTCTTCACATAAAGCTAAAACAATATACTCATGATGATATACCAAACATACAATTTACCTTTGTCAGTCCAACATTCCTGGTATAAGTACATATTTCTCTCTTTTCTGGATCCACTATCGATTCTTCAATGACACTGACATTTCGAGTATTTATTAAGCGTTCTCCCCACTTGGGCATGCGGTTTGTTTTGGTTAAGACACGTTTGGAATGAAGTTTATTATCAACAACTTTTCTGGCTACTGTATCCTCTGACAACACATGCAAGCTGAAAGAAAAAGCTGATTAGCAAAAATAATAAGCAATACTTAAAACACTATCTCAAAAGTCTACACATACATACATATGTATACACATACCTAAATATGCATGAATCTAAACATATATAAAAATACATATATATACATGTATATACAAATAATATATACATAAACAAATACATACATATTTATTAACACATACAAATATATATATATATATATATATATATATATATATATATATATATATATATACAAATATATACAAATACATATATATACATATATATACAA